TCAATACCTTTGTCTACTATGTGGTATTAAACTGACTCACTGACTTCCGTTAGCCTGTTCTCAACAAAACGCGATACTACAGTGCTTTGGGGTCGATTGTAGACGCTGCGTTATCAAGAATTCTTCGTGACGTTTTAGCTTTGCCCGACATCACGGAAGTTGAATCGCACAAGCTAAATGAGTTATGCCATATTCTGAACGCATTGGAAGGTTTGTTCGTTGAGGATCCAAATCAAGTGAGTTCAGCATCCTGGTATTAAATTCCCGTGTTCCGTTTTAATCCATGATTTTCTTCAAATAGCCGTCGTTTGTTGTCGCTTATGTTCCATCGTGGCTCAAATTCTCGTATCTGTCAGAATTATTGGTGGGTAGTCATCAGAGATAATCCTGTTGTAATCGTGCTCAGTCTTTTTTTTTCACTTTTATAGGAGGCTTCGATAGCGGATATATCTTATCTTTTCGATGAAGGAGCATTGGTAGACTTTGAGATTGATGAGTTGATCAAGTTGGTGAAGGCATTGTTTGCTGATACCCCGTTGCGGACGAACACGATCAACAAGCTCATGCATGGACATCCTGTTCACTCGTAGTCTCACCTTATGGTCATTTTTGTTGCGTCTCGCATTCATGCCCATGTTGCAGTGTATGTTATGTTAAATTCCCAGAGACGAATTTTACTTTATCATCACCAGACGACAACTATACCATATCGCTCGCGCATTCACTTCGACAGACAAAAAAATCTTGATACGTTTTCTGAATTTCCACAATGATATGCTCTCTCATGCGTACTTGATATAAGGCCAAAGTGATATTACTGGAAGAATCATTCTTGTGAGGCTAAGCTTGAACATCGATATTCTTACATGTAGTGTACAGTAGTAACCTCAACATGCAATTCCACTGGTAGTGAGAAATTCTTGTCACAGCCACATTGCAATCAATGGTCGTATCACTGTCGTAAATTACCCGAAGATGTATCCTTTCTCCTCCTTCGCCATAACCATGAATTCAGCCTGATCCTCGTTTTGCACAAGGTTTTGCAACTCCAAACTATTCGTTTGCCTTTGATCGCAGTTGGTTACATTGAGCATCAGGTGCCGTAGAAATCTATGACACTGACATTGGAGACTAACACTGGCATATTAGCGATTGTGCCTGTCAGCTATATGCTGCGCTTCCTATCAAACATGGATAATGGTGGGTATATATACTTTGGATTCAACAGCTGGGAAACCCTCATCACTCCATAGCCATAATGGATTCAGAACCTCCCATAACGAAGGATATTAGTCCACCGCCTTACTTAGAATCCAAGGTCGATGGTTCATCTCCACCCGACTACTACTCTTCTCCTACTTCATACAAGATAGGGACTCAAATTTTAACAGCCCCATTGGTCAATGTTATACAGCTAAAAGTCCATCTTGCGTTGCTTCGGGCTTTCAAGCAGTTACGAAACGATACCGACAACACGAATCTAGCTGACCTACATAATTTGGAGTTATCTCAGTTCTGTCAGCAACTGGATAAAGATCAACGATGGACTTGGCTGCTTACCCTCGCTGTCGAGAGGTTGGTCCTTCATGATTCCGCCTTCCTCCTACACAGTGATCGTTGATTTTATTGCTTTCAGATTTCAAAGGTGGGTCAATGTAATCGGACCACCTGGAAACAACATCACACAGTGGATCGAAGACGATATGCCTCCGATCGACGTTATAATGGTCTGGCATACTTATCTACTCAATCCGAGGTATGTTCTTGGTGTTGATATTTATGGGATCAGTCAATCATCCAAACCCCTAGCTGGTATGCCGAGGATTGTATCCGGTTACCTCTTCTCAACTCATTGAAGGCATTGAATGATCGTTTACTGGCTATCTGCGTTAGTATATGACTATCATGCTTTTTTGATTATTCTGATCTGCTTTTCAGGTACATCTTGGAGACATCGGCAGTTATAAACCATCATCGAAACATTTAGAGAAATGGGAAAAGGACACGCGAAGTCTTTGGGATCCGATAGAAAACCTGGCTTATCTCAAACAACGCTTTGTTTCTTGTCCTCGATGCGAAACTCAGAACGTCGCTTGTGAGTATTGACGGTTCCTTTCTAATGAGTGTCATAGTAATGATACTATCCTGCAGCTTTCCTCACCTCTGATGGAAAGGGATACGCCCAGGGTGGCTTTTCGTTGACATGCTCTTCATGCAAGCTCGACATCACAAAAGAAAAATTAGCAATTGGGAAGTTTGCGAATGACTTAATCAAAGATCATCTCGACACAGATACTGTGAAGAAATATGGGAGTGGTGTTTTCCTCGCGTGAGTTTACACTGTTTGAATTAATTCACTTCGCCCAGGGAAGCTAACAATAAGTGCAGAGGGACATTATATACGCCTGTGAAACTCAATGACTCTGTCTCAGGACAGAGACTCAAAGAACTAATTCTTCGACACCCTACCTTCAGTGATCCAGTATGTTTATATTTTCTCATTAATATATCCTCGCTTATCTAAATTCTTACTATCGCAGGACGAAAAGAACTTGCAAATGAAACGCAAGAGGATCTTGGAAAGGTCAAACGAGTCTCTGAAGAAGCTAGGTACGGACGTAACGGCTGCTCTACCTGTGGCTAGTAGAAGTCGTAGGTAAGTAGGCTGTGGCCTTTGAATAGTCACCGATAATCGTAAACTCTGACCGCTATATTGCATTCAAAGAGCGCACAGAATATTAAGTGCATACACCGACGATCGACCATTCTCTATCGAACTCGTAGGAGCTATTCTTCGGCAAGGTTCATTCATCGACAAGATGCACAGTTTTGCATGGACAGAACCTGGATATTTTGATGATAAAGTCGACGAAACCGTGTTGCAACATTCCATTGCAAGATATCATGCGTGAGTGTTCTTGAATCTCTTTTACCAGTGAAGCTGAGACTTTTGACTCCTTCAGATTCTTGGATTTAATGACCTCGACTCCGACCGGATTCTTTGTTCCAACATTGGACATTGATTTGGCCTGGCACACGCATCAAATGATGGGTTCAAAATATTCAGCAGATTGTGCAAGAACGGTTAAGAGATATATTGATCAGTACGTATTCCTTCGAACCCAATCGCGAGACCGTCTCACTAATGGTATCTATTCAGCGATGACAAAGTCGAAGACAATGCACTATCAAGTGCTTTCGATGTTACTTGTCGAGCATGGGAGGTAAGTAGGCGCGTTTTCGCGGATCCCTGATCCTAATATACTGGTATCGTTCTCAATCATCCTTTTAGCAACGTTTCCAAGTACCCTATATGCATTGCGGTTGTCCTTTACCCGGAGATACAATCGGTCAACGTCTATCCCGATTAATTCATCGTCTCAGCAACACACCTCCAGATGTATCGTCTTCTTCAAGTTCAATCACACTAACACCGCCAAACCACCCTGATGCATATTCAGCCACTCATCCAAGTGATCATTCATGCGTTGAAGGAGGTGGTAGATCCCCTAAGCAAGCTCAGATCCTCAGACAACTCAGGTTAGAGAAATTGAAGAGGAGGCGAGAGAGGGATATAATGGCAGCGGCTAAGGAGAAAGTTGATTCGAATGGAGAAAAAGGACGCTTGAATCGTGCAAATAGAAATCGAGAACACGATGCTGCTTTCCTTTATCCTATTCCATTCTATTACGCTCCTGTTGGTGGATGTATCGTTCCTATGGCGGGATTACCTTTGAACGGAAGTTGTGCAGGTGGTTGTGCTGTAGTAAGTATTCATTCTATCCGACTGTTCCTTCGAGTTCTAGGAATTGATTATTCTTGTTATTTAGGGAGCAGGGGCTTGCAGTACCGGCGGTGGATGCGGTGGAGGTTGTGGAGGCGGAGGTTGTGGAGGTGGAGGGTGCGGCGGAGGAGGGTGTGGTGGAGGTGGCGGTGGCGGTGGGTGCGGTGGAGGTTGAGACCCAACTTCATCCCAATTTTAAGGGTATATATCTTTTGGATTTTGTTGACATAGTCTGTCGGATATCAGTGGGTGCTGCCTCCCCATGTAATTTGGTCTAATACCAATGTATGTTGTTACGTGTACTACTTATACTCAAATGAATTGTCGTGTGTGACATTGTTATTAAATGTTATTGCTGCTGACATGCGCAGGCACTTCTTAACCCTCAGATATGGTCTCGTACCCAAACTTGAATCGCACACCATCTATCTTCGGTCAGAAAAGCTCACCTGTACCAGAGTCTCTGTCCAATTTTCACCATTCATAGGCGTCGCCGCAACACCAGCTTTTCGAAATCTGCGAGACTGAACTCATGTCAAAAAATGCAGTTGATTGAACAGATTAGACTCACATGTTCTCGTTGTAATTGCTTCAAAGGAGAAACAACAATAGTGGGCCTGTTCTTTGAGATACCTGGAACATAATGCGGCAACATGAAAGGCACAGTCTTTCCAGAGCCTGTACCTTCAATGACAATAGAATCCAGACCAAGAAGGATGCTCTCGGCGACGTCGAGTTGCCAAGGATAGGGTTCAGCACCATTCATATGTTTCTTGAATTCTGTCTTCATTTGTAGTCGTACTTCAGTCGAATTGTAGCAGAATGCCGGGCACGAACAAGATTATGCATTGAAAGAGAAGCAAAGCTTGGAGGCATCGAAACAGAGATCCAGAGGAAACGAGTACAAAGGATAACTGCGAGAGCGTGAACAGGCGTGAACGCGAACGCGAAAGTTTCGAGACGTTTAGTCGATCTGAGATCTCAGGCACCTTTGATGGACTCTGACATCATGGGTCTGGATTTGTGACCGTTACACGGTGATTTTTCGTGCGTGCTCGTAAAAGTAACGGGGGGGTTTCCTTACCGAAATGCCCCAGACGAAGAATGCGGTGATGGGGTGCGATTCAAGTTTGGGTACGAGACCACTCAGATATAAGGTTGATTGAGTGCAAATATCACTAGTAACCAAAATTCGGGTCTTTCTATTCATATACATGCATTAATGGGGTAGTGGTAACCTGGGTCGTTGCCATTCGAGTAGTAACTACTAACTCGACCCGCCGGGGGTTCGATTCCCTCTTAATGCAATTGTACTAGCTTCATATACTTTTTCAAATAAATCCCATCCCCTTATGTCACTGGTGGTCAAACCTCCGACATTGGGTACTGTTCTGCCGAGCGTAAATTCCTCCTCCTCCATGACTCCGAGCTCGTAGTGACAGTGGATTCTCAGGTGCCTTCCGTGAGATCAATACTGTGAGCGCTGAAACATCTTCAAGTTGAAGTTGTCGTTTTACTATCTACTTCATTTACCTGCTACTGACTTTGCAAGTCTGTTGTTACGAGACCAACATAACACGCCATTTTAAGGCCTGGAGTGGTCTTAATACCCAGGTGAGTTGTTTTGCACTAAGTATGAGAAGCTTCAGCAGCTTTTTCAGTTCGCATGGGGATTTGTGAAAAAATAGCTGTACCCCGCTGAAGCATAGCTTCAGTGTAACGTTGAACAAACATATTAATAATGAGGTGAGTAAAATTCCTGTATCATTATAAGATGCTCTGCGGATGACAAGTTCTGACAAACTTGGGAGTGTTAGAACTAGGATTGCGCCATATGACCTCGGGACAGAGTAATCGAACATCATTCGTCGTCACGGCTTCTAGAGTGCTGACAGTTTGACGGATGTCTCACCTTAAATATGTTATACTACTAGATTGTCCGGTGGTTTGGACAGTCTGAAGCTCAATTGCCAGAACACTCACAACTGACCGACATTCAACATGCGCTTGGCTCAATTCATATTCTCCCTTCTTCCACTCTCTACTTGGCGCGATTCAATACATTCTCTCGATGGCCTATCATCCATAAACGACAATAGAATCTTTGAACCTCCAATTCAGCCGAATAAGTCGATAGCAATTGTTGGAGCTGGAAGTGCGGGACTAGCCATTTTGAAGGTCCTACTGGACCTACCTATAGAAGTTCGCTCAGGATGGGATATCGTACTCTACGAACAACGTCGTAATGTTGGTGGTTTATGGCTTCCAGATCCTCATGAACCGAATCCACCACATCTTCCTGAAACGCCTCTATACCCACTCTTACGAACAAATACTCCTCATCCCACCATGACTTATCCTGGGTTCACTTTTCCTCCCAATACTTCACTCTTTCCATTTCATCAAGCTGTTGAACAATATCATGTCGATTATGCCGCACATTATAATCTGACTTCGCATATTCAGTTGAGTCATACCGTTCATGCCGCAGGCTGGAGAGGGAGCAGTACTCATGGAAAATGGGACATTGAGATTCACCGATATTTCGAGTCTGATATTTCCATAAAACACGTTTTGCATCGATCCTTCGACCATCTCATAGTCGCGAACGGTCATAACCACTATCCTCGGGTTCCAGCATGGAATGGGACCGAAGAATGGCTTGCCAATTCTCCTGCCGAGGGTCCCAAGCGAGAGCTTCTTCATTCTATTTTCTACCGAAGTCCGGAGCATTATAGAGATCGAACGGTCGTCATAGTTGGTGTTGGTGCAAGCGGAAGGGATGCTGCTCTGCAAGTAAGCCCTATCGCTCGTGCGGTATGTTGTTTGGAAAATTTGCGGTGCGATTCCATTCATTCTCTTACGATACTCGTTTCTACAGACATACCAATCGCTACGAACAAACGGTACTACAACCCCAGGAGCGAACGTGATAGCCAAACCCGAGATATCACATTTTACAAAAAATGCTATCTTCTTCGTCGACGGCTCATCTTTGGATACAGTCGACGCAGTAATCTCAGCAACAGGGTACAACTTCCTCGTACCTTTCCTTAATCGCGCGCCGACCTGGTCTCCTTCATCGCTCCCCGGACTTACAACAGATCCTCATACACAGGCTAATTCCACCACTTCGGAATCTCTCATCACGAATTTACGATACATATTTCCTTTATACCGACACATTTTCAGTCTCTCAAAATCGTATCCCCCTACAGCGTTGTCGTTCATCGGTTTACCGGTTTTGATAGCCAATTGTCCTTCAGATATTGCTCAAGCTATCTTTGTCGCACAAAGTATCGCCAATTCTTCCGTGCTTCCTTCGAGAGAAGATATGGTTACGGATTTAGTTCATCAAGAGAATCGACTTCTAGAACGAGGATATGATCCATATGTGGTTGGACATAAAATGGTCGGAGGAGATGACGATGCCATGGCTTATCAAAATGATCTAGTCGCGTATTTGAAGAAGAAAGGACAACTGCCTAACGATGGAAAAGATTATGTCGAACAATGGAGGAGGGATGCGAGGAAAGGGTCGTTCTTATTGAAGAGAGCTTGGGATAGAGTCGAAGCTGCTGGCGAAGAAAGCAAATGGTTAAGTGGAGTGCAAAGTGAAGATGAATGGGCGGCTTTGATGAAGAGACTTGCGGATTGGCAGGAAGAGTGGGAGAAAGAACATCCTAACAGTCTCGGTACATTGTCACTGGCAGAGGGCCCGAATGGGCTTTGGTTGGATGACTATGGCTTGTACTAGTGAGTTTTTTTTTAGGAACGACTTTACATTTTTTTTTTCAATGAACGTATTAAATTTTACGATCCCGGATTCCCTGGGAGACTTCAAGTTGCGAATTTTTTGAACTTCGGCACAATGTTTTCTGAATATCAAACATCGTCGTTTTCAGCACCTGGCCGAGTCTACTCGTAAGTAGTTGAAGGTCAGGATTGCAGCAATTTCAAAGGTGACAACTGCGCATTAATCCGGAACCGAAAGGTACAAAAAAAGTAGGAGAAGTTTTCTTCTCATCTTGACAGTCTTTAGCACTGAGCTTGCTAAATCGAGGCAGTTCAGAAATACTAACTCGGTCATTGATATTTCATGATGAATCATATGGGAAATTGATTCGCTACCGTGGCCATATCGCAGCAATTATGGATATTTGATGTCTGGTGTATTTGGATAAGGAAGTTGATACAAAATTTTCCCATTGTGATTTGTGAAAACATGAAATTTGAACGCCTATAGTAAGAGTCATAATCTGATTATATAGAAAATATTCATCGCCAACCTGTAGGTATGTATCCGATTTCTACTCTTTTTTCTACCAATACTTGTAAATGGACGGCTGGGGGAAACGAGCACTATTTCGACAAAGAATGCTGAGTTCGGAGCTCTATCGGACGGCTATGATCGCTTTAGAAATTAGTAGACTACTTATGAGCGCTAGTGAATACTGCACGTGTCAAATTTCCCAGGGTTTCTCACAGACGAGGCGAAATTAAACACTCCGTCTCAACGCTCAACAGCGAATACGAATGCATAGAAAACAACTAGCAAGAAGGTCAGCTCCTCCCAAACAGTACGTCAGTTTCATGTGCAGAATGATATCTTGTACTGAAAAGCGACGAATTACCCAGGGTACTAAGAGGAACCTACACTCCTCCAGACGAATCAGTGAGATATAATCGATTTGTACTTCATTCGACTAAGTCATCACTAACTCAGAGACTAAACGCATAGAGCGACGACGAGTCAGACTCAGACGATTATGATTATGATGCGGAACATAGAGCTAGGTTAGGAGAGGGAGGGTCTTCTGGTAGTACTCGTCAGGCTTCCGGTAGTGGTCGTCAGGTAGCGAAACAGGTACGCGCCTCAACTTTTTTGCCATTAGTTTCATTGGTTCATTGCCAATCTCACTTTCTTCCTCCCACTTTTCACATTCTCTAATACATATCCAGCCATCAGCCATGCCACCTCCACCTGTCAAGACTTCACCAAAGAAGGCTTCAAACGCGTTAGTTTTTTTCCCAATGCATCTTGACATTTTCGCGTTTACACAGATTTTCTTCTTCGTAGTAAGGCTGCTGGTACCGCGACTGCCATGACTGAAGACGCGTTGTTAGCCACTCCGTTGACCAAGTCAAATATTGCTTCCATTTCACGTCCTTCGTTCGCGACTCCGGCGATATCGAAGACTGCTCAGAGCTCGACTGCTATGTCTCCTCCTTCTACTATTCCCCTTTCTGCGAGTGCTACCAAACCGGTTAGTCTCAAATCGGTACACCCATCACCTTCACATCTTCCCTCACCTTCTCGTGGGCCCACAATCACTCTCACTCCTCAAGCTATCCATAGCTCCTTAAAACCACTATCTTCCGTAAGCGCTAATGGTAGAACTCAGTCGATGTGAGTTGTTGTGACTACCGTTGTTATAATTTCTGCTAACTTGATTACAGCGATTCGTTGGACGGTAACGATGTTTCGGATGCAGAGACGGAAAGTGCTTCGGTTGCTGGCTGGCCAGGGAAGAGAACGGTGATCAGAAAGACCACAGAGGAAAGAATAGCATTTTTCAAGAGTGACCCATTCTGTCGACAACTTACGCCTCACGCCGCTGAATGCTCAAATTGCAATCAATGGATACATCTTCATGAAATCAGAAAGTACGTTATGAAGGAATGGATAGCTCACAGGAAGATTTGCAAAGGTGGCATGCCTCCATCACCGTGAGTTTGTTGATTGGAATGTGTTCATTCGTCTATATCTTTGCTTTTCTCACCTTTCACCTGGATTTCATATAGAATCAGCCCTACATCACCTTCTTCAATCACACAGGTTGATAACACGAGGACGGTTAGTCGAGAGGGTTCAGTTGCGGCGTCGACCGATACGCCGCAGAAACACAAGCGATTGAACAAGGGTGATCGAATAGCTATACTGGAGGCGGATCCATACGTGGGTAGACATGAGACTCATGCTATAGAGTGCACTGGGTGTGGGAATTGGATTCGGTTGGGTGCGAAGGGTGATTATACGTTAGGAAATTGGAATGTTCACAGAGCTCGATGTGTTATGAAAACGTGAGTAAACATCTACCATGCGGCTGCTTCAATGTTGAGGAGACTAAAATATTCGATATGTCAGAAAACCGGGCGATGCCATACCTCTTTCTTCAGCTAAGATAGCGCATGTCAATGCAAGTATTCTTTCTGCACCCGGAGCGCCCGACGATGCGACATTTACAGAAGAGGATATGGACAAGCTCGCAGCCAGTGATCCCCAAATAGCATCGTTCTCCAGAAA